GTTTGAATACTTCACTGTTGTACATCACACTGTAATGTGTTTCTATGAATACTGTATCCTGTTGATAAGCCTCAGATTCCTCTTACCTTTGGTCCTTGTATGCCCTCTCCTGGTAATCCTGGAGGACCAGCTGGACCAGTCTGACCAATGGAGCCCTGCAGACCACAAAAACACCTAAACAGGTCAATTTGAACACCTAAACATATCTGCAAACACATCTAATGACACATTCAGCAGTGTATTAGCGAATCATGGCGCGTTGAATATGATATGCATACATGTATTCTACATATATTTCCTACCTTTGGGCCCACTTGCCCAAGACCTGGTGCTCCAGCAGGCCCTGGGGAACCTGAAGGGCCTCGATCCCCCTGTGACAGAATATATCGATTCAGCTAATGCTTTAATAGAATGCTTTTTTCTTTTCTTTTTTTAAAGATTCAAATGTTTAAATTTTCTGTGTTAAGCAAGCACTTTACCTTTGGTCCAGGTAAACCTGTTCCCTCTGGCCCAGTCTCTCCTGTAAGACCTGGCAGACCTGGTGGCCCCTATAGATCACATGGGCGAAACGTACTGTACAGTATATAGTGTAAATTATACTGTTATATTCTCAGTTGGTATGTCAAAATAAAAACAGACTGTATAAATGTAACATTTGAATTAATTATATTCTTTGTAATGATATTTACAGGTAGGCCGGGATAGCCTTCTCCCTTCAGCCCTGGAGGTCCAATGGGTCCTCGTAACCCTATTTCACCCTAAAGACAGACAAAGTGCATTATAGGAATAAAAAACAACAACAATACAGGTTTCTGCTAGGGCATCACTCTTACCTTCGGCCCTGCAATGCCTATCCCTGGTTCTCCAGCAGGACCTGATGGACCAACCGGCCCTGGATCTCCCTACAGGAAGATGAACATGGTATTGAGATCTCCTGATCAATTACATACACATACTGTTAGCCCAAACAGTATATAGAAGTTTATGCCACATTACAAATATATGAATGAATATTCGAAAAAGTTGCAATGGAAGTAAATTGGCCTACATTCTAGACTAGAGCACTCCAAAAAAATAATGTGTTGGCTCATACATAAATAAAAAAAGACGAAACAGTTTTTCTGTTCAAACAACATACTACATTGAGTTAGAAGAACTTAAAAACTTGTACCATAAACACATATTTTTGAGTTACTAATGGATTTGTGAGCCTGAAACCTATTTATATGATCTTTTTCAGTCCAAATTCACAGCTATCATAGCACCTGCTAAATGTAACTTATTTAGCATTTATATTTAATGAAGAAGCATGTTACTTTTGTTACTGGCATTAGTGTAGTCATTGCTTATAGAGCCAATAGTGATTACCTTCATGTGATCTAATCTTCAGCACAAGGGTAACCACAAAAACTTCAACATCACCGAAACACTTTCAATTGTCAAACATAACAGCATTAAACTCTAACAGGTCTTTCCCTTCACTAAAAAAACACATAAAATAACACTTAATTTGAACATTTACTCTCCTTATCTATAGTCCTATGCAAAGCATACCCAATTTCCAAAGTTAACAAGACAATTTTATTGAGTTACTAC